AGTACTTCCGCTGTTATCTTGTTTGAATCTGAATTTTACAAAAAGCATGAGGAAGCCTATAGCGGCTGTCACTAAGACAAGGAAAAAGAAAGAATCCATTAGTATGGTGAAAGTAGGAGCAAGCTTTGGATGGAGGAAGAATTTTAGAGAGAGGAAGAGGCTTTGAGTGACTGTCGAAGACTTTATTGGCACAGAAACTCCATTGATGTTTCTTGGAAAATATGGTGAGATTTCGTGGAAAATGTTTGCTAACGACAAAATCACTGTCCCACAATACTCCACCACCATTCACTTAATTTCTCGGAAGCCAAATAATGAATTAATGATGATAAGATAAACATCTCAAACAACAACACCTCTCGTTCCACAATGCTCCACCACCATTCACTTAATTTCTTGGAAGCCAAATAATGATGATAAGGTAAACATCTCAAACAATAACACTTTACGTCCACACATTCTTCTTCTTTCTCTCTTTCTCTTCTAATAATATTGAATGATAGATAGAACACAAATCTTATCTTACGAATATGTACAGTTTAACAAGGTTTAGGAAAGAAAAAATAAAATGACAGAGATTGAAGCTTCACATCATTTCTCATACTCTTACTTTACTAAGATGTCTATAAATGTAGTAAGAGAATAAAAGAACTCTAAGTTTTATGTGCAAAGCCATCAATCTCAATAATAAAAACAACAAAAGTGGGGCTCTGAAATTGCAGTATCATCAACTTTACACGGTAATACTGTCCAGCAAAGACGCACAAGCATCTTCAAGCAAGTCCAGTACCTGTCAAAAGAAACAGCAGACCAAGTAACAGACAAAGATCAAGTTTCCTTGTGAGTTTTGTCCAAACAAAACAGTACCATTCTAGAGTGCAAGGCTACTTGGTAGTGACAATGGCATGCCATTTCAAAGTCTTATAGACTAAAATCAACCATTTGATAGATCTCTAGTGGTTGAATTTTATCTGTCTAAACCAATAGTTACTAGTTCTACTCCACAATAAAGCTTCTCCAATCTCTAATGGTATACCTTGTCAAAACCTTGAGCTCCACCATAGTATGGATCAGGAACAAACTTGTCACTGTGTTTCTTGCAATACGAACACATTAGCTTAACCTGAAAAAACAATGAAATATCTTCTGAAAATCTCCAAAAAAGAGTTCCTAAAAACAATGAAATATCTTCTTGTGTTGTGTGTTGTAGTTTCTTTGACAAGTTAGGTCTCATGTGTTCACAATACTTTGTTGACTGTTAATGACAAATGAGTTACTTATTATTGAGCTTATATAGGTAGGAATGTACAGTTGTATACGAATATTACACAGATTATAACAGAGTAGTCTTCTAAAGTTTCTGAGGAATACAAAAATACTTGTAAGTTGTTTTGAATGTTCCGGTTTGAGACGAATGTTACAAATTAGCACTTTTTGGAGTTAATGCTACATCTTGAACAACGTGCAACTGGTTTTATACTATGATCACTGATCAGTCATCTTTTGACAGATATATGAGAGTGTAAACGTAACTTCAAATGTTTACTAGGGTAGTTTCATCACCAAGGTGCAAGGCCTGTCTTATCTCTAGCAACCTCAACGTCTCATCTACTTTTGCCCACTGCCTTTAAAGAAAACAAATCTGGTTTCTTGCTTCTTAGGTCACTTATAGAATCACTCTTGACGTTTATG